TGCCTGGTGCTCCGGCCAGTACGTTCTCCTGATCTCTGACCAACTAAAAGCGTCTGGTCAATAGTTACCGAACGACTGGCACGCCACCACTCGTCAGTCACTACGGTCGATGAATTGTGGCATAATGTTGAAGCTGCATCGAATGCTGTACCTGACCATGCTTTCCAATCTCTGTTCGACTCGATGCCCTGGAAAATAACTGCTGTCCTTGCCTCCTTAGGAGGTTGCTCTGAGTACTGATTCCTCAGGATCTATACATCCAAATATCCTGGAAATTTAAGCACTTGTTCTTTCAACTATAATGTATGTGTCCAATAGATACCACTCTGTCAATTGTATTCCTTCCTGATGTAGCAATTTTAATTCCCAGTAGTGTATAAACTCGGCCTGGGAAAGCTCTTCTTACCCNCAGGAATGGCATGACGTCGTCCTTTCAGATGAATCCCGGTTCTGTATACAGCATCATGATTGCCGCATCTGCGTTTGGCGACATCGTGGAGAACGTCCATTGGCAGCTTTCATTCGACATCGTCATACTTGCCCATCAACTGGAGTAATGGTATGGGGGGCTATTGGATACACATCTCGATCACCTCTTGATAGCATTACCGGCACTTTGAATAGCAGTCGTTACATTTTTGATGTGTTAAGGCCAGTTACTCTGTCCTATCTTCAAGTCCTCCATAAAGCTACGTTTCAGCAGGTAAATGCAAGACAGCATGTTGCCCGCACTGTCCTGACCTTCCTTGACACATATGTTCGCCTGGTGCTCTGGCCAGTACGTTCTCCTGATCTCTGACCAACTAAAAGCGTCTGGTCAATAGTTACCGAACGACTGGCACGCCACCACTCGTCAGTCACTAAAGTCTATGAATTGTGGCATAATGTTGAAGCTGCATGGAATGCTGTACCTGACCATGCTTTCCAATCTCTGTTCGACTCGATGCCCAGGAAAATAACTGCTGTCCTTGCCTCCTTAAGAGGCTACTCTGAGTACTGATTCCTCAGGATATATACATCCAAATATCATGGAAATTTAATCACCTGTTCTTCCAACTATAATGTATGTTTCCAATAAATACCAATATGTTATTTGCATTCCTTCCTGGTGGAGCAATTTTAATGGCAGTAGTGTATAAACTCGGCCTGGGAAAGCTCTTCTTACCCCTACTGAAGGGTTTAAATGCTGTTAATTTTTTTTCAAAGAATAATAAAAAATATTGTATAGATACTGATTACGATTTTCCTTGTAATATGTTTAGGGAATAAAACTTGTTGTAAAAACTTCTTTTTAGCTGTTAGTTGACTCAGATGCAATAATGTTTCGATTCGAAAATACAAGCATAGTTAATATTACCGAAGGTATGCAATTTATGCAAATAAGGTATAGTAACAAAGGGAAAGTGTGTTTTAGAATTGTTTTAGATACATCGGCAGTAAAAAAGACAAAACAAGTAATGTGGTATTAAATAAAAGTACCTTACAGTTTTTTAAACCACCTTTAGATCATATACTCTGTAAAAAATTCTAGATCAAATTATGGAAAAAAAAGTACAGGCACTCAGGATGCCGGTTTTTTTTCTCCGTACAATCTATTTTTACCGGAAAATGTTTTGGAATAAAAAATATAATATACCGTAGCGTTTGCAGCAATAATTATCACCTTAAAATCACTCTAATTAAATTAATATTACGGTAAAATAGAAAATAAAAAATTTACTGTAAAAATGGATTTTACGGATGATGCCCCCGAAGTGCTGGTACTACCACAATAGAATCTGGAATTTTTTGCTTAGAAACATCAACAAGGTGTTTACAAAGCAACCTTCTCCACTTGAAAACAGTCTTGAATAATGAATTAGGTGAATTAATGAGTGAATAAATAGAACGTTTTAAATAAGTTCGTCTACAAAGCATTTAATAACTTTTAATTTAAGTGGCTTGGTTTTACTTCGATTTCCTGAACTGAACTTGATTTATAAAGAATAAAGCTTAAAAAACAATAAATTAACGATTTAGAATGATAAAAAAATTTTCTTTCTGACTACGTTATACGACTTTGATTTAGAAAAGATTTATTCTTTTAAGAATAGCATGTTGTACACTTTATCAGAACATAAACTCCGTAGCACTTTATTTATTAAATTCCTTTTGAATGCTGCTTGACGCAAATCTATCTTAAGAATTGAATTAGCACCAGCACCATACACTCGTCTCCACTTACATTCCTTTTGCATTCATTCACATAAGAATTCTTCGGCGAAAATCATTGTTTCCACCAATATTCATAAAACTGCAAATGCAACGGCTCCCTGGAGCATTAATATGCCAGTATTCATTAAGAGCGCGTCAATTATTGTCTTATCGATGATGATTAGTTGTACAGATACGATACGTCATCTTTTCATCGATATTAACAAAGACTGTTTCTCCTTACAACTTGCGTAGCCTTGCTGGGTCCATAAAGGAGAAGATAAAACCAGGATGGCATTTAATTTATCGCCAGGTATACTTTTAGAATATTTTAAAGCCGGTTGAGTTATCTTGGAGTAGTATTCCCGGCGGAGTTGCATTATGCAGCTACGGCCTTATTTGTAACATGAACAGGTGGAAATATTAGCACAGTAAAAGGGGGTTTATACTATTATTAAATAGATATAAATATTTCTGAAAGTGCATCTCTTGCTCTCACAGGAACTTGATCATTATTTTCAGTTGAAAGACGGTTGTATTTTAAAATCCTTAATGATACGAAAACAGCTATCTTGTTCTGGTTGACGTTTCAATTTACTTATTAAACAAAAACTATGCCAAATTTATTATTCCGATCAGTTTAGTTTATAAATAAAAACTTGTTTAAAAAGCAGTATTTTGTTAAACATTCATTAAAATATCTCTTTTCTGTAAAAGTCTGCAGTTTATGAGTATTGACATTCTTCGTCGTTGGTAAATGTTCCATAAAAGCATGTTTTCGATGTTATGTAAGACTGTTTTTGTTAATTTGGTGAGATGTGTTTGGTTTATAAAAGAGAAAATAGAACCAGGATAAAGTTTAATTTATCACCAAGTGAATAGTTTTAAATTTATTATGTCATTTTAAACCCTATAGGGTTGCATTGCGTATTTACGGTCGTATTTGTAACATAAACTGGTTGAAATATTAGTAAAGTAAAATGGAATTTATGCAAGTATTAAATCGGTATAAATATTTCAGAAAGCATAATTCTTAAGTCCCATAAGAACTTGATAGTTATTTTAAATTTTAACATGTTCGTATTTTGAAATCTTCAACTATGTGAAAACAACTGCTCAAATTCGCAATAGTCTTGTTGGCATTTTAATTTGCTAATTAAACAAAAATTGTCCAAATTTATTATTTCATTTAGTTAAGCTTGCTACTAAGTGCCCTAGTTTGTGTAGAATTCATAGAAGTATCTGTTTTCTCTAAAAATTTTAATTGCTCAAATGCCGATTGCTAAATAATAATTTTCGGTGAAAACTTAGTGAATATATGAATTTTTAGTGAACTGCATGTTTTCGATGTCAACAAAAACTCTTTGTCAACTTGGCGAAACTTATTTGGTTTGTAAAAAAAGAAAGAACTAAAATGGCATTTTACTTACCTCCATGAATAAATCCTCCATGAATATTTTAAAGCCGGTAGAGTTATCTTCGACTAGTATTCCTGGTAGAGTTGCATTGTGCAACTATTGGCATATTTTTAACACGAATTAGTTGAAATATTAATGCAGTAAAATAGAGTTTATATAAGTATTGAATAGATATAAATATTTCAGAAAGCGTAATTTTTACTCTCGCAGGAACCTAATTTTTTTTTTTCATTTAGAACATGTTAGTATTTTAACAATGAGAAAACAACTGCCTCCAAATTGTAATAGCCTTGTTCTTGTTCATGTTTTAATTAGATTATTAAAGCAAACATACGTCAAATTTATTATTTCGTTCAGTTAGACTTGCTTCTAAATAACATATTTGTTTACAAATCAGTAATTTGTGATAGAAATCATAGAATTCATGCTGTAAAAATCTGAAATTAATGTCAACATTTAAATAGTCGTTTCTGGTGAGTGCTCTAAATATATATATTACCATTGTTAACGAAATATTTTGCACACTCAGCGATGCTTGTTTGTCTTATAAAAGAGACGAAAGAACTAAGGTTACATTTAATTCATCTCCAAGAATATTTTAAACCTTGAAGAGTTATCTTGAACTAGCATTCCCAGTAGAGTTGCATTCTGCAATTACGGGCTTATTTGTAACATGAACTAACTGAAACATTAGTACAATAAAGGGAGTTTATACAAGTAATAAATGGATAGACATATGTTCCTTAAGGCGTTATTCTTACCCTCGCACGGAATAGCAGTTTCATTTGAATGATGTTTTCATTTTAAACTGTTTTAACAATAGTCTTTTGGTTGTATTTAACAATGTGAAATCTTCTATTACTAAGTTGTAGTGAGTTAACTTTTAAGTTGACTTTTCATTTGTTTTATTGAACAAAACAAAAATATGACAAAACAGTTTTTACAAATTTATAACAATAGTAGTAAATTCATGTTAATATTAGTAGCCTTTTTACTTTCTAAGACATCATTTCCACGTCTACACATCTGAATTAGTTTACACTGAATATTAAAGGTTATGCATTGAATCGTTTATATATTACGGCTTAGAATTCTCATATCAATTTTTCTTAAAAAATGATATATAGTGGTGGTTTTAAATTGAAGTGGGGTTTTAATTCCGCCACTATAACCTTAAAATTGTTTATTTCTTTAGTTTAGCATTTAATTATTTTTATTTGTTTAAAAAAACTGACCCGTGAATATACACAATATCAAGTGTAAACAACTAAAAATTATAGGAATGCTGAAAACATGAAAGTTAAAATATACACTTTATTATGCAGTTAAAAAACTAAAGAAAATCTACCAACTTCGAAAACAATGAAACACAAAACGACATACGATAAATAAAATGTATAAAAAATTTTTTTTCTAAAATAGCATAAGAAGTTATGAAGAAAAGGTGTAATATAAAGGATATGTATATTTATTCGCACGATTTCGAACTAAGTAATTCGAAAATTTTGCCATTCTAGTTCATACTGGAGAGGCATTTATGTCAAAATGAGCATAAACTTTGTCAACAGGTACTTTAAAATTATGTTGACGCCTGCTAAGACGAGGGAGTTTGTAAGTTGTAGGGCATCCAATTTTCCTTATCAAATTTGTGGCAGCTTTATTATGAGTGAATGAGGCCAAATAAAGTCCTTTCTTCAGTGGAAAAGACATCATCAGCCTTTTCATCATGGTTTCGGCAACGGCTATATGATCAGCATACAATGGTGCGATTAGCGGGACATTTAATATACTGCGTTTTATGCTTCCAAATCCAACACATACTCCATTTTTGAACGCTATTAGAGTTTTAGTTTCTTTTGCTTTAAAGCTCAGTTCCAATGCCAGCTCTCGATTAAATCCACAGATTTCAAAATCGTAATCGAAAATGAAAGGTAGGTAAGATGCGTGGTACGGAACGATTATGACATCGTCTGGTAGAGAATCTTCGAGATTCTCGGGGTGGATTATATCTTCGAGCGTATCGTTTTCTTGCACTTGGAGATCTTCCTCAAGGAGAGGGAAACCAGCTTTCGTTTGGTACATGCTTACTTTGTCTGGAACGCCATTCAGAGATGCGTTTCTACATCCTAAGTGATCCATGCAAACATCCCAAACCTGAAATGAAAAATCTGTTTAAGATAGTTTGCTGACTTTTCAATCGAGACGGGGTACCACCTTCTTCAGAAAGATGCCACTTCTTAAAAATAGTCCGTTTGAACCTCTCTGGGAGGGATATTTTAAACTGGAATAGCCTATAAAAAATTTTTAAAGTCGAATCTAAAGTTAAGGAAATGTTTTATATGAAGATAAAAGATTTGTTGTATTACTGTTCTTTGTAATTCTACTAGGGGACTATAGTTATTAATATTTTCAGTTTCAAAAGGATTTAAAATTAGAAACTGTGGTAAAAAAGGCTAGAAATTTTAATTGACTGTATGACGCGCAGTACGAATTTGATTTTTCATCAATTTCAAAGATCTGGATTTACCAATTAACCTACAACATATATATGACGGTAAAAACCCGAAGTCCTATAAATTCTACGTCTTACTTGTAAAACCTAGCTTTTAACAAAGTGACTTGATAAAAGTTCGAAGTAAGCTTGAATGTGATTCTAGTTTAGCCTATTACCTAGCCTTTACGGTGAAAACTAAAAGTTACCAAGCCACTTTGGAAACTTCTATGTTTTACCGGTAAAACCAGGGTTCACCCGATTTCGGACTTTTACAGTTGTTAAGGTAAAAACCCGAAATCTGGTTTAATCAAAGTCTTACCGACTGAAACTTACAATTTTCTAAAGTCGCTTGGTAAAAGTCTGAAATATGCTTGAATATGATTCCATTTCTGCCTTTTACTAAGCCTTTGGAGTAAAACCTAGGAGTTACCAAGCCACTTTAGTAAATCCTAGGTTTTGCCGATAAAACTTAGTATTTACAAGATTTTGGTCTTTTACAATTCGGTCTTTTATAACTATATCTAAAGAAAGATTTAGATTATTTGATTATAGATAAGCTTTCCGTCGCAGGAATTATGGGATATCCTGCAGCTACAGATATCTCATAATCCATGAAATTATGGAATTTAAGCGAACGGTCGGAAGAACCTTAGATATTGTGAGGGACTTTCTTTCTATGTCTGTACATGTATGCAACATGTATGATTATACATTTATGGTAAATTATTTTGAATCGACAGAGTCTGGTTATTTTAACAAACTTTAAAACAGTCTTAGCGGGGTAAGAATAAAACATCATTTTTACAACGATTTTGGGCATTTGGTTCTCGGCCTAAGTAAACCACACCTCCCACATGTTTTTAAAAATGTTTAAAATTGTCAAACATCAAAGAATCACCTTTTTACCAACTCCCATCCCTCTATATGCCTTCTTAACAGTATAAAAGCCAACAAAGCAGTAATTTTGCTGTAGACGCACTGCACAACAGAACCCCAGAACAATTCCTGTTGGAAAATTTAAAAGAAATATATAAACTTTAACAGAAGTTATAATAATAATGATTGTATTTTTTTCATCCAAATACGAAATAGAATAGAGCAAATCTGTTCAAAAAACAATTTCAAAGGAGAAATACAAATTTTTTAACCGTTTTACGTGCCCTAATAAATCAAGAACTGTTGCATTTTGTTTTAAAATTTAGTTGACTGAGGTTTGAATTTTAAAAGAGTAAGACTTTCTTTAATTTTATTTGGGTATAACTGGTACTGAACTAAATCGAAATGTATTAAATTTTGTTTTATGTAATTTCTTTTTAGACCATTTTTAATTCTATGTTACTTTATTTTTATTTTTAAGAAATATGTTTTGGGGGAAATTTCAGGGAAAAACTAAATTGAACGCATAGAATTAAATTTAAATTAATATCAATAAAATATTGTTTTGTTAATTAGAAAGATGGGTGATTTCACAATTAAAATTTTTTTAAAATTAATTTGCTTAAAAGTTTGAGAAAAATGACATTCCAAATAGTTCCATAGTTCAAATGACCTTTTTTCTATCATATTAGGCCTAAAATATTACCTTGACATTTTTCAATCATATTTGGCGTAAAATATTACCTTGACATTTCTCAATCATATTTGGCGTAAAATATTATATTGCCCTTTTTCTATCATATTTGGCTTATAGTAAAATCTGCGAAGTCAACAAAAAGAATATTTAAAATAATTGGCAAAATTTTTCTTATTTAAAAACCTAATGATTAAAATTCAGAAAAACAATACAAAATCGAAAAAGAAATCTATGAAGATATTTAAATGTGTAGGCAAATGTTATAAGCAAATAAATATTCTTGCAACAGTACATAAGCACTAAAAATTGGAAGAATTACAATAAATTATTTATTTTCAAACAAATAAAATTTATGTCAAATTAAATGTTAACTATTTTCACCCAAACTTTTTTACAAAATAAACTAAAATCTTCCTAGAATTACTCTTATCAGACCTATGTTTAAGATACATGCTTTTATTGATATATTTTTTTGCAATCGGGGTTTAAAAGCTGACTCCATTTTGAGTTTACGACTATTAATGTTCAATTCCATAGACTAGTAATCTTGAAATCAACCTAGAAGACTTGAGAGCTCCAGAACCAAGTATTGGACGAATTAGCCTTCGTGGAAGATTTTCTGCTGTTGCGTTACACGAGGAGGAAAATCGCAAAGACCTTCCATGGGTAGATCGCCGATGAGAAGATTCTATTTCTTGAACCGTCTACCATTAAAGATGTTATAAGTCAGCACTGTGATCAGTGTGAGCGGGAGAGGAATTCGTATCAACTAGCAACCGTTGTCATTCGAACCTTGGTCATCTCTTTGGAAGACGTATGCTCCATCCTCTGTGCTCCATTGCTAAATTTTATTTTATGACAATCGTTGAACAGACGACCCAATTATATAGGTTTGCGACTACTAATGTTCAACTCCGTAGCCTTGTAATTTTGAACCCAATCCAGAAGACAAGGGAACTCCTGGATCGAGTATTGGGAGAAATTTGACTTCGTGGAGGACTTTTTGATGGAGCTAACCAGTATTTGCGCTACATGGAGAGGAAGACCACGAGAACCTCCCACGGTTAGCCTGACGACAAGGGGACTCTAACCCATGATCCGTCTACCACTGAGAATACTTTAAATCAGCACTGTGGTCGGCTCAAGCCGGATGCGGAATTCGTATCGACTGGGATTCGAACCCGGTTCGCCGCATTCGAAGGCGAACGCTCTATCCCCTGAGCCATCACGGCTCCATTGCTAAATTTTATTGTTATGGATGTCATAAAGTAATTTATGCCAAATTTTGGTCAGAGAAATGATTCCTACGAGCCTATGGTACATGCTACGAGTCGGGCCAGATACCTTAGGAATTCATGAGCTCAAAATGAAACAAATTCTAAAGTGGTAAAAAAGATTTAACAAATGATAATACCTGACATTAATCGTCAGTATAAGAAAATGTGATAGTATTAGGAGAAAAAAAAATTTTGAAAGAAAATATACTTTCATATCGGATGATCCTCCATAATGCCGATGTCATTTTAAAAAAATCTTGTTTATAAGTATAAAATGACATTCGTGGAAAATCCCATTCCGTTTAAAGATTTCTTTTAAAATTTACAATAAAGTACTTAGAAGATTGGCTGAAACCTTTTAAGTTTTCAATATATTTAATTTGGACTTTTCTCATAAGTTACCAAATGCCATTCCTAACAAAATTGTGGAAATGCTTTTTTTTCTTCATATTTTCTTTTTGCGCAGCATGAAAGGACTTTTTAAATGCTCAAATCTTGTGCAAGTTTTGACTACATTTTTTTTTTCAAATTTTGAAAAGATAATTTTGTTATTAGTTAAAAATTGCCCCGAAAACTTCGTTTAGGTTTGTTGAATATTTTTAAATTTATAGTAAAACAAATAGTTTTTATAAAAATATCCCTACCTTCATAAATATTTCCGCTAGTCTTACGAAATTTAATACAATTATTACTTATAATAACTATATTACCTAAATTATTGATACAAGTTACAAGTTTATTACTATATTTTCTGACATAGGGCGTTCAAAAAAAATCTTGAATCTAATTGCCGGTCATTCAAACCTCTGAGGCTCTTTTTGAAACCTTTAAACTTTATTGAGTGGAGTGAGAAATTGCAAGATCTCCCAGAGACTATTCTATTTCTTTTTTTCTGTTTTCGTTTAATTCTTCGATAAATCAAGATATTATGACAGAGATTATCTGCTAATATTAAGGATATTAATGACAATTAATATTAATAACATAACAATATATTAGTCTTAATGACTATATTATGGCATTTATTTATTTCCAAATCTGTAAATTTTTTTCTCTTTTTTCAAACTATTATTTTAAATTATTTTTAATTTTAACCATAAATCGGATGCCATTATGTAAGTAATATGTTTAAATTTAATAAAATCATTGCTATGATTTTAGTAAAACAAATCTTTTAATAATTGTAATTTATGTCTTTTAATAATTTTCGAAAACTGTTAATTGAAATAAGGTTGACTGATATTTTGCTGATATGGTGTAAGTCTATTGCTCCGTTTTCTGAAAAAGTTATAATAAAGTTCTAAAATAATTAGTACCGAAAGTTCTAGAGTGAGTTAAACTTTGAATTTTTTTTTAAGTCACTACTGTGAAATAATTAAAACAGAGTAGCATTTTATATAGATGTTAAGATTATTTATATCTGGAGCTTAGCAAATTCACGGTTCATTAAATTTTCTAAATCAACAATTATATGTTATAATGTTAAATATTTAAATATTATAAATATCAATTTCAAACTAAATGGTGGTAGCTTAAAATATTTAACTTATCATTTATTTATTTTTATACAATAATAAATGTTTTTGTAGTCAGGAAGTATCACCATAAGAGATATTGCTAACTTTCAAGATATTACCATTGTCAGTGACAGCCACTTTCAAACTGTTAGGGTCGACTTCTTGCCACATCTGCAGACTATAGGGGCTTATATGCCAGCCAGTTTCCCTGTAAATGTCTAAAACTTGAGGCAAATCTCTTTTCTTCAAATTTCTTACTCTGAATTTGACAGGCTCACAACTAAATTTCTTTCCGTTCAGCTAAATATAATAGTGTAGTTATAATACTAATTCAAGAAATGTATTTTGCAGAACTAAAAAGACTTAGTTTTGCTTTTATGTTAGTCAAGAAATATAGTAGGGAGATTTCGCACTTTTACGTTAGCTTCCATACGCAAAATTTGAAGCAACTGCGCATGCTTGCCTTAATTTTAGATGCTACGAATCTTTATGTTATGTTAGAGTAATTAATGCTACAATGACAAAGCTATAAGCACACTGTTTATAGCTGTTAATTGCTGTTTTCTGCTTAAGCTGACCTTCAAACTAAAAACATGGACACGGACAAGGTAAAAATATACTTGAGGGCAGGGCTCGAAAAACCGCCCGTCCTCGGCGGTCAAAAATTCCCCGCGGACAACGAATTTCTCAAATCCGACGTCCGTGCGGACGGCCATTTTCCCGTTAATGTTCGTGATTCATTCTTAATTTTTGTTGTCCTACAAAACTCTAGCTCCTCACTTATAAAATGTCCCTCTCATCTAAATATACAGCAACATACTGCGTATGGAGGAATTGATGCTTTCTCTGTCTGGGAGTACTGCAGTGGTTGAAAGGGGCTTTTCAGCAATGAACTTACAAAAAAACACACTACGTACCTTAAAGAAGTAGCATTATAAACGCAATTATAAACATCTACCTAAATGGAAAACCCCTTTGAGATTTCTGTGCAGAAACCTCAGTAAATCATCGGCTTGATTGTGAAACTGGCAAACGTCATATTTGATTCATTTAATAAACGCAGTACCCTCGGTTAAATTGACATTCCAGACAACTTGACCTTTGTCATTTAAATTAATTCATAAAAGAAATAAATTATGTCATAAAAGGAGTACTAGGTTACTATTAGTAACCTAGGTTTTTTATTAGTTTATACACCTATTAGTTTATACTAGGTTACTATTAGTAACCTAGTATAAACTATATAATGTAATGCGTATTACTGTATAATATAATCCTAGTATTTGTAATCCTAGTAACTATTATTTCATTGTGCAATTTGTATAAATGTTTATAATAAATAAGAAGAAATTATATTTTTATTTATTTAGAAGCGACGGGTTAGTTTCAAAGGAGGACGGGTACATTGTTGGACAAGCCGTCCTCGGGGACGGGTAAAATTTCGAGCCCTGCTTGAGGGTGCCCTTTGGCGAAATTGACGACTTATATTTGGCGCCATTCCTGTTTGCGTGGAACACCGTGGTAACAGGAATGGCGGCCAAAACGTAATGATATTTCAAAAAAACATTGGAAAATTTCGACAAAACATCGGCCAAAACTGTATACATTGCAATGAACCCAATATAAGCAAAATTAATAAACCCAATAAAATGCATTTTGAATCGAAACAAAAATTAATGGAGTAAGCACAGAAAGAAAAAAAAACAACTCACTTCTTCATTAAACTTGAATATCCTCAGATTTAGGTGCACGGAATTCACTAATAGCAGTTAGATACTGTCTAAATTTATCATGAATAGAATCTGTGTACCTCCATCGCCACATAAATTCGGCGAAATACGAATTGAAAATGGCATCTGTGGTACCGGACTGGCGGACATTTTTACGACTGCCCACATACCTTCAATCTTATTGATCAGAAGCAAAAGTTACCTTACCAGCCGGTATCCAAAGTAGAACTAACGAACCTCTGAAATTTTATATACCGTTGAACATTTAAAAATAACGCTAAAATCTAAAACAATCAGAATCACGAGTGGGTTTCAACATCTCCCAGCTTGGCGATCAACGGCAATCACAACTTGGCGAGAATCAAGGGCCACCCTCAAATATAGTCTACCCTCGAATTTGAAGAAATGCATTGATGAAATTTAGAAATGAATAATGCTTTATTACAACTACCTTTTCTGTGTAGTTTAAAGCCAACTACTGTAAGTTATAGTAATTTGTGGACCTCATATATAAACTAAATTTCTTCAATTTGACCACAAATCTAAGTAATAAGCTGCATTCTTTATCGCTGAATTCATCAAAAACTACCGATTTTTTCTGCTCACAGAACTGCAGTTTTACGTAAAGCAAAGCATTTTGATTCGTTTGCCGCTGCTTAGTGTGTACGTCCATTTTAAATATTTGTTTTGATTTTGTGGTCACGGTTAAAATGATATTCTACTACGATAGCGCATATGAATAAAAAAAATGGATAAAAATTAAATAAAAACATTAATTAATTACATTTTGAATGTTAGCATCTCTTACACCCAGAAGAGCTATTTGTTGATTCATCATAGACAGAACAAATTCAATTAGAGTGCTGTTATTTTTCCTCAATTCGAAGCTAATCAGGCAGTGATCTATAAGAAGCAAGAAAATTTCCTTTAATTTCATAGAGTAAAGCAAGCCATCAGTATTAAAATAATAGAAGCCTAATGTCTCCTAGAGAAACAAACCTGTTGACTTCTCTAACTTTACATCGAGGAATTTCTCAAATATCATTAATGTAATAATTTCATAAATGTCATGAATTTCAACATTATATTTTACTGTCAGTAGTAATGTTGAAGGCATAAATATGCTTATTCTTTTTCGTCCAAACGACATTTCAGTTTCAAGTTTATTAAATTTCAATACTAAAATTTTTTGAGCTGTAATGGCTCAGTGGCTTAGGCACTGAACTGTCATTCCCAAGAACTGGGGTTCGTTCCCCAGTGTTGGCTTGAAGCCCACCCAGATTCAAATATATAGATACCAGTTTGTAAACGCAGAGCTAAGCACAATTCCACAATTATATCGTTGGTCACGAAATTGTGAAGCCCTTACGGGTCACGGAGGTAACTCCGTGACCCGCTTGGACCACAATGGGCAGTTGCGGAAATGCTTCCACTAAAATATTTTAACTGAACTATTAATAATAGTAATTAATTATTGACAATACTTTTTATCACGAATTTTCAATTCACAAACTTTATACTATTATCATCCTTTAAATGAAAATATAATAACTTAACTACTTTAAAATCAGTACTTATCGTTTATAGGTACCGTGAAGCCAAGTTTTCCAAATAGTAGAAAACAGCCAGGTTCTAATTTACACAAGTCATCAGCTACCCATTATTAACATAGGTGTATCGAATATGAAACTATCATAAATATTATGCTAAGTCATAATTATTGAATTCGATGATTTTCTGAAAGTTATTTAATTTTATTAGGGTAAAAAAAATATTGACATCAATGTAGAATTGAGATACTTGGAAAAATATCTCGATATATATTTTAGACAATGCAATGCGATATTAAACTTTGCACACATTTTCCATGGGTGTTAATGTTTGTGTGGGTGACAACTCGAAAAAGCTATTACCAACACATGATTCTTATAACCGATAGGTTAAAGATGGAAGGTTGGGTACCAACAGCGAATAGATGCCCCAAACGCACATAAATTATATACTTGAATAAATGTAAAGTCTGATTTTAACTTTTTAAAGTAAATACTGATTTTCTTGATTAGCCTATCTTTCGGTTGGTGAACTATGCCATTAAGTCATTTCTTTTTAAATTTATTCTTGGCATTGTTCACTGTTTTAGATCCTGGAATTCTTTTAACTTAAAGAAATTCATCACAGTTAAAGTTCATTTCGTTTCTTGGAAAAAACTCTTAGAATTAAATTCAATGGTACGCATAATAAGAGCACAGTTAGATTTTAATAGAGTTGTTATTTTGCTTTATTATCCTTAAAAAGCATCATTGAGATAATTAGCATATTTTTTTTAAAATATTAACCCATATTGTACTGAGCATATTAATAACAAATTCACTACTATACCATAATGATCTGTAAGAAACAGAAATTAAATACACTCTCCCTTGGAAAATATTAGTTTACTAGACTTAAATATTGTCTTGATTTTTGACTGTCCTATTTTAAATCACAAAACGCTTGAAAATCTACTTATTTAAAAACCGGTGAACCAGATGTAGCTCGCAGATTGTAAATTTAGAAAAGGAATATAGTGTAAACGATGTAAGGTTTATAAAATATGTAAAGAAATGTCAATTTCTTTGCTTAATTCTATCATAAAAGACTGTTACAAACTAAGAACAGTTGCAAAAATAGCATATTATCTTCCAAAGTTATAAGCGTATTTTAAATCATTTTTCATAATAGAATGTATTGTTGTCTATAATAAAGAGGTTTGTAATATGATGAAATATATTCTGATAAGAAAAGTGCTAAAATGTTACACGGGCTGTGTATGGTAATCGCATTTCAAAATATTAATAGGTGTTTTGATTTTTGGTACAGATTAACGACTTTGCAAATTAGCAAGCTATTGAACAATTTTCAAACACCTGATCATAAGAAGCAATTTATTTTTAAGAAAAAAAAAAGAGAATTTCGAATTAGTTTAATAAAAAATTTTAAAGTATTTTGAAGCTTATAAAATTTATACTTGTTTTTCGTGAAAGTGAACTTTTGTATATAAAAAAGTTATTGCCGATTAATGAATATATGCCAATTAACTCGGAAAAAAAAACACTATAGAGAATACGAAGTAAGTGTATATCGGACAATGACAGTTAACTTTAAAACAAAATATTAGGTTGTAGAGATTACAGGTTATTTATAAATATATACATATATTTATAAAAATATTTGAAAATAAATATATATTTGTTGAATTTTATTTCTTAGAATATTAAAAAAAAAAATTCAGTGGAATTTTTAAAACTGAGGGAGACTTGCTACGAGAAATCTACATTTGAAATCAACATTTTAATAAAATATGAATTATGATTCTTAAAATAGTAAAAACAATTGAAAGAAATATTTAATTGAAAGGAATTCTTTGGAAATTAATATTATTTTTATCTAAATTGTTTTAGAATAAATATAATTTTCTTTTGTATTTCATCCTCAGATCATCCTAGATCCAGTTACTCATACAAATAACTATCAATACTGTTGGATAATTTTTGACAAAAAGAAATTGTATTTGAAAAATCAATTCTCAATAGATTAACGTAATATAATTTATACTTACGAAAATAGAAGAGGGGGAACAGTCTACAGTTCTTCCAGCCAGCAGAAACTTTAAGTTGTCGAAATACACGCACGTTTCTCAAATTTATGTGAAAATGAAGGTTTATTTTCAATAAATATTTCAGAATAAAAATCAAGAAAGTTCTGACAGCTGAATAAATCCATAAGAAAAATATATAATAATAATAATGACTAACGTAAGCATCGAATAACAATAACTCTATTGTGCCTATTAATTCAAACTCCTGTAAATAAAAATGTTAACTTTGTTTATTACGACAAATCACCAATAATATTTTTTTTATTCAAAATCATATTATGCGACAAAAAAAAGAGAAAAAAAGATATTCTAAAAAAAAACCTCACAATCTGTATAACAGCTGAGCCATATATCTATTAAATCTTAAAAAAATATTATTAAAAACATTTATATTTATTTGTTATTTAGACGTCATATAGTCCATTCCAGAACTTCGGGATTTCTGCGTGACGCTACTTATATTAACATCATTATTACGTCATGATCACTTATAACAGACCGTTAAAAACCAGCTCAGATTTTCCCCACAACTTTTCAGACTCCTTACAAAATTAAAATTTTTTCGAATGCAATTTTCCTATATTTCTCTTGTTGACTTTTTTTTAAGTATTTTGAAAAAATTAAGAATAAGAGGATTTTAATGTCTTACTTAAACAGTGCTCAGACTCTACACCAACTAGTCGGTGAAAATAAGCAAGTGACAAATCGCATTTGTTAAATTAGTTACGTTGCAAAATTTTTTACGTAAACACTTATAAGTGCTTACGTAACAAGGATTTATATTTATAAATGTTTGTTACGTTAAATTTTATAACTTATTTTTCCTGTAATATTAATCTTTTTTATTCTATCTTTTGACCCACCTATAATATTTATTTTTTGTATTCAAAATAAAAAATTCGTAGAAATATTTACAAAACTATAAAAGCCCGAAACTGGTAAAAGAAGAAAATTTATCTTTGACTATGCTATTTTTTTTTCCTTTTGTATTCATTACAAAAAAAAACACAAAAATATTGATTAAACTGTAAAAGCCGGAAACCCGTAAGGGAACAAAATCTACCGCTGATTATCCTATTACATATTTCTTTGTATTCATAGTAAAAATTTCACTACAATATTTACTAAACTTTAAAACCCTGAAAAAATTTGAAAAAATTAGTAAAAGGACAAAATAGTTAAAGGAATTTTTCTAACTAACAATCATCTCTTTAATTCCTAGTTTTTAATAATTATTAAATAGTATTTTAATTATTACTAAATATTATCTTTGAATAAAAAAGTTTTATAATTGAGATCAATTTTTTTTCAGTTCACTTAAAAAGCTCTTGATATATGAGAAAATATGATAAAAGTAAAATTATCGTTAATGGATCTCAACTTTCAACAGCTCTCCTGACCAAACTATTAGGATCATATTTTCCAGATTACAAGACCAAAGAATATCAAAAGTTTAAATTAATCGAAAAAATGCATTTTTAATATAAGGAGGGGTACTGTGTCTGATTTCATAACTTAAACTATTATCTACATTAATTAATTATCGTGTTTAAGGTTAGACCCTTAAGCCATTTAGATTGAGTCTTAGTGCAGGAAAATCCGATCATCAGACCAAAGGTTATTCAGGATGATCAATTTTCGATTTTGCTCGCTGTTCTATATTTTGTATCGAAATTCTGTTTATTTGAATAAAAATATTAATCTTGCATAAAACTAAAATAAACATTTTTTTCAGATTTTTTAGATCTTACTTTCATTTTATAATTTATACCATGCCCTTGTCTAGTGGTGCATTCATTTTGTTTTTGAAAAAAAGCATAATCTTTATATGGTATAATTGGTGCTAACGTAGGTTAAGTTCGTGAAGTAATGAGATTGTAAACTGTTCCCAAATGGTTGGACTGTGACGTATAAGCAGTGTTGATTCATTTAGGAAGAGTATTAAGTTACCAAAATGGAATCTATCAAGTTGTTGTTGCTTATCCTCATAGATCGGACATCAGTCAGATCAACTCCAAAAAGTTGTTGACAGCCAGAACAGTCAAAATGGAATCTATCAAGTTGTTGTTTCTTATCCTCATAGATCTGACATCAGTCAGATCAACTAAAAAAAGTTGTTGACAGCCAGAACAGTCAAAATGGAATCTATCAAGTTGTTGTTGCTTATCCTCATAGATCTGACATCAGTCAGATCAACTCCAAAAAGTTGTTGACAACCAGAACAGTCAAAATGGAATCTATCAAGTTGTTGTTGCTTACCCTCATAGATCTGACATCAGTCAGATCAACTCCAAAAAGTTGTTGACAGCCAGAACAGTCAAAATGGAATCTATCAAGTTGTTGTTGCTTATCCTCATAGATTTGACATCAGTCAGATCAACTCCAAAAAGTTGTTGACAGCCAGAAAGTCGATGACAAGAAGGGGATCGGAAATTAAGTTCACCCTAGACAGTCCGACACAATCAAATATATGTTTCGGTGAGGCTGATTGGATACAACATTTTTTACAAGTCGGATTAATTTTTGTACCACGTTCGATTGTTAGACAATTTAGGTGACCAGTTGAGAATCTGGAGCTTCGATCGCAATTGATTCCCACAAGGGTGCCAGCATATGTTGCTGCGTAGCGTTGGTGCTTAGGTGGAGTTTTCCAGATTGAGTTTTGTCTGAGTAAAGTTCCTGATAAGTAAGCGATGACCCGGTGGTTATATCTTCCTTAATGCCCTCTTTGTCCTAGAGGCTAATGAAAAGCAATAAAAAGTTTCTGAAGTTGAATAAAAAGGTCTAAATTTAAAGTAATTAAAATGAATGTCAGCAAATAGGCGACATTAATCGTACCACCATCATGGGCACAAAAGAAATGCACGCATAATTAAATAAAAGAAGAATTATTATGATGAGCATCAATGCAAACATCTATATTAGTTTTTGGATGTCCGAAAACAACAAAAATCAGACATAAAACTGCAATCAAAAAGTGGTTTGAAGTAAATATTGCTTTTGTTGAAGTTTTTTTATATCAAGCTGCTTGTAACCAATAAGCGTATTGACAGATAATTTTAACACGCACTTCATTTTAACAAATACTATTGCTTACGAAAGAAACTAACAGTTAATCACATTTCAGGAATTTTAATTCGACAACGGTATAATATTAATATGTTATTGGCGTATAACGTCGAACGAAGAAATAAATTAGCCTTTAACATAATTTAATTCATTCTATGCGAAATTAAATGACACCCACTATGTCATGTTATCCATGGGTGTTAAAAATTTTAAAAAGTGGTGTGGAAAATAAACAAACATTAATTATCGTTTGTGGCATTTGTGACTGTACAGGTTATGAAATTCCTCCGTTACCAGTGGGAAATATAATTTTATAAAGGGGGATTCTCTGATTTAAAAATTAAAAATTTAGTTTTTTATTTTGCAGAAACAATTTTTTAATTCCTTCATGCCTTACACATTGCTGACCGAGATTACTCCTCTAGGACTTGTGCATTGAAATATTCAAATTTTTTTTAAGGATTTAAAAAGTACTTTTATGTAAAAAGTGGTAGAGTATTTAAACTTAGAGTAGCTTGATGTTTTCGTTTGTTTGCTACCACAAATATCGCGGGGGATCTACATTCAGATCAAAACAAAGATATTAAGGGGCGTTCCTCTCCGTATGGTCTCACCGAACAGTCACGATAACCCAATCATGCCATCAAGAAAGACTGCACAACATTGAAAAGACGTGCAGCAGATGAAAAGTTAAGATAAATGCAGACAAATCAAATTTCAGTATAGCCAGGCAGCATGAGACAAAAGCACAAATAACAGAAAAATTACTATTTCTCGGAAGTTATTCCTATAATCAGCAAAGCCAAGTGTCTTGGAGTTACTACAAACACACAATTTCAACAGGAAAGAATAGATCAAGACTACTTTCTAAAGAGCACAAGGCGAATATAAATCAATGAAATCAATAATAGGCCACTTGTCGAGACTTTACAACAAACGTCTATGTCATGTGCACATGCCTATACACTTCACCCTCATGTGCGACAGCAACAACATCTCAAAAGCACAAAATCGATACCTTCCTAAACAAATTATTACGATAGATGCTAAATTCACGCTGACTCATGACCAACAGAAACATTCACGGAGATTTGAAACTACACGAACTCAGTCACTATATTGAAAAATTTGAATACATCATTTTACAAGACCATTCACGGTAACACTGCTAACTTCAACACCATATTTCAACAAGAGCTTATCCACACAACGGCTGAACTAATCCAGTCACTTTTTTCTTTCTATCGGACACTGTCTTTAGTACCATTTACAAACACTGAAGATGTCAACACACCACGAACAACCCTACTGTCAACAACTTCCTTCTCTAACAATATATATTAGATGTGACAATTTAGATATTAATTAAATAGCCACCGATGGATTGGTTGGTGTTGCCATCGGCGGTAGGTGCTGAGATGTAGACAATAATTAGAATTAGAATTCAAATTAGAATGAGTTAATATGCATAATATGCACTATAAAACTGTAAAACAGTGAGACGAAAGTTACGGGTTTACGAACATTTTGTGACCAATAAGTTACGTTTAGATAAAAAGTACAGTACTTTCATGCATTTTACAAACTTTTAAAAGTGGAAATGAAAATGGAAAAAATTTCCATATTTTAATATGTTTATGTACTCTACATAAAACTTTTGGAGGGAAATATATATGTATGAGAATTCAAAGTTGTTAGATCTATAAACTTTAAAGTGATGTCTTAATAGAAATCTCTACCAATATAATGTTAATTTACTACCAAAATTACAAATTTTTAAAACTCTCAGAAACAGTCAGCATCGGTTTCTAACAGGTCATTTCAAATTTTAAAAATTGTTGTCTCAATTAATACAAGAGTCGATATTTTATTATATTTGTAGGAACAATGTCTCTTACCCATATCTTCCAATATTTGATGTTTTTGTACAGTGCGCAAAGTAAAAAAGATATCTCTCTGGAT